ATAGGGGCCTTTGTACAAGAATTTAAGAAGAGGGCGCGGAAGGTCCATGGGATTTCAGAGGAAGCACAGTGCGCCATCTTCGTGGGGCTACTCACAGCATCGGAGGCCGTCGAGTTGACGAGACATGGAGGAGGTAGCACTAAGCTCACCTGGGCCACCATTGATAGAGGGGTGGAAGTGGGATGTTTGGACCAGGTRGARCAACGTCAGGTACGCCTGCAAAGACAAAAGAGAAAGGAAAGAGATGCGACCGCTTCTGGGACCCCGGGAGTAACAAGGATTGTTACAGACGTATTGACACAGCTAGGGTATGCGACAGAGCCGGTGGTGCAAAGGAGGGTGGTGACGGCTGTCAAAGTGAAAGGAAAGGAGTCAGTGATAGAGGAGGCTGTTCAGGAGGAGCTCTGGGAAGAGGAAGAGCCGGTGCCACGGCACCTGACAAAGGTCCAGCGCAAAGTGCGTAATTTGGCGCAGGGCGGACAGGGATCAGGAAAAGCGCAGGCACCTCAGACCCAGGCAGCAGCCCCTTTAAATGTGGCGGCTCCATCATCTAGTACGGGCCCCTCGCAAGGTGGGGCGCCCTCCTACGGACAGTGGCCCTGGCCGGTGATCAATGCGATTGTGCCGTGGGGAAATCCGCCGCCAGTAGCCGGACCGCAAACGAGTATGCCGCCACCCATCTACCCCGCGGCCCAGGCCCAACCTGAGGCCCCGCCATCGTCACCTGATCCCAGTTCACAGGGCAGTGTTGTAGGAGGAGGGAATCAGGGGCAAGGCAATCAAGACAATGGAGGTAGGGGTGGAGGAAGGGGCCGAGGCAGGAATGGCGGCGGAAGAGGAAGGCAATGGAATGGCCAAGGCCAGGGGTACCAGGGCCAAGGGGGCCAAGGCCAGGGGTACCAAGGCCAAGAAAGTCGAGGCCATGGGTACCAAGGCCAAGGGAGTCAAGGCCAGGGGTATCAAGGCCAGGGCTATCAAGGCAAGGGGTATCAAGGCCAGGGGGATCAGGGAAGTCAGGGGTATGGAAGACCCCATTTTGACTGGAGGACGGCCATCTGTCAACATTGTGACCAGCAAGGCCACACTATAAGGTTCTGTAATATAAGACGGGAAGACGAGAGAAGCGGACTGATTTCCTCTACTATGGATGRGAATATCTACGATCAGTTTGGGSAGKCCATCGACRGAAGGCTTGGAGGAGTGAGGGCTGAAGCCCAGCGAAGAGCGGCAGCTGGGCCGCAACCCCCTGCCATGTTCAGGCTATGGCAGGAAAAGGTGGAACCCCTGATTGGAGAGGAGGAAGTAGGGAGTGATAAGGAAGCGGTTCAAAGGCTACTAGGAAGGAGTAAGAAGAAAGAGCCCATAATCATTGAGGCAGAAGACGAAAGTGGGGAGGAAAGAACGGAGCCTCCGTCCATCTTATATGGGAAGATGAAGGACCTGCTGGATAAGATGGGGAGGTACCAACGGAAGTTGGTGGGCCTCTGTGAGGAAGTGAAGAGATGGAAACTTTGCGTCCCCAAGGTGTTCCTCCACGACTCCGGTCCGGAATTTGCACGTGGGCGACCCGGAATAAATGTGGTGGGGTCATGCCCACAATCAGGAATGAGGGGGAGACCCCTCACTCCGCAGGCACGGCTGGCGTAGGCAGCGCGAACGAGAAATCAAGCCAGAGTCAGCGCCAGCCAAGAACCTCCGAGGAGGGAGGCGGAGCCAGAAAAGAGAAAGGAGGCCGTGGAAGTAGAAGATGATGATGATGACGATGAAGAGGAAGAGGACGAGAGGCAGCGTAGGGAGGAGGATCAAAAAGCAGAGCAGCGGGCGAGGAAAAAGGGAACCAGGGGAGAGGTCGAGCCGGTCGTGCGCGACGGACCGCCCAAAAGGAAGAAATACGCGGTCCGGTTGGAAGAAGGATTTGACGTAGAAAAGGTGATTGACTGGCTGCTGGAAGGGCATAATGACCTCATGACCCTGAAGGAAATCCTAGCGTCAGCCCCGCGACTCCGCGATGAACTGAAGGGGAGGTTGTCGCGACGTCTGGTGCCCAATGTCCATCTGGGTACGATTCTGCCCAAGGAGGCAGAGTGGTCGGAGTCAGGCACGAAGATGGACTGGAAGTGCGTAGCCTGCGGTACGGTGGATTTGATGGTGAAGGGGTCCTAGTGCGCAGCAATGGTGGACACCGGGGCAGAGATGAACATTATTCGGGAGGCAGACGCGATCAGATTCGAGCTGGATATAGACCGTTCTGACTGCGGTATTCTGCATGCAGCCAGCTGTAAGGCCGTGTTTTGCGGGACAGCCTCGAATGTGCTCATCGAGGTTGGAAAGGTGAAGGTCAGGGCATGCCTCTTCATAATGTCAGACGTGGACCATGGAATCCTCCTGGGGAGGTCATTCCTAAGCAGGACAGAGACCGTGATGTTTAACAAACATGATGGGACGTTGATCCTCCTCTTATGCGATCCTGCCTGCGGGAWWTATRAAATAATMMCTTGCAGGAACACCGGGCCAAGGAGTATAAGGAACCGGCCCAATCCAGGATCGTTCACAATCGAGGAATCGGAAGGGGAGCGCAGGAGACTCTGGGCAGAGCCCGAAGCAGGAGAGAGGGTGGAAGCATTTTCCCTCAGCCTGTCAGATATAGGGAAGGCCATGGATTTGGTCGCCGTGCATTAGATGGCAGATCCGGATGCCATCCAGGCCTTGAGGGAACAAGTTCTGGAGTGCCCTGAGGCAGGAAGGTTGGAATTGGTATATCGGCTCCCAGGAAGTGGAGGGAACCCCGCAGCAGTGCAAACACAATCCGTGAGTCGGCCTTTTTTAGGGGACGGCTCAAGCAGGGTTCCCAAAGGCGGTACAAGACGGTAGACAAGAAGTGCCGCCCGGTTCCCGTCCTCGTTACAGAGGACGAGGAGGCATATTACGAGAGGGAACGAGGGTTGATTCGACGAATGAGGAAAAGTGTTTTAGCAAGGCCATGTCGTATCAATGAAGGRAACGAAAAAKAGTTGATCATARGGGAGTCTGATTTCCTACTGCCCCAGGAGCGAACGTTGATGGTGGAATTAATGAAGAGGAAGCATCGCGCTTACGCGTTTAGTGACGAAGAGCGTGGCAGACTCGATGTAGACAAGATACCTATGATCCGCATACACACCGTGCCACACGAGCCTTGGAACATGAGAGGGGCGCGATATCCCAATCCTGACGAGGAAAGGAAGGTGGTGGATTATCTCGACGGCAAGATACTTACTCACGTCGCCGACTATTCAAGTGGACCGTATGCATCCCCGTGGTTCTGCTTTATTAAGCCTAACGGGATGCTGCGGTGGGTGCAGGATTTGCAAAGATTGAATGCAGTGACCGTGCGAGATGCTGGAGGGCTGCCAAATGCAGACACGCTGTCGGAATCCTGTGCTGGAAGGCCTATAATTTCGCTTATAGACCTTTACTCAGGATACGATCAGTTCCAAGTCTACCCGCCGGATAGGCCGGTGACGGCTATGCATACGCCGCGAGGATTAATCCACATGAACGTGACCTCTCAAGGGTGGACCAATGCGGTAGCAATGGTCCAACGGGCCATGATTCGGGCTATGCAGTCAGTCAGCCCCCATATCACACAGCCATACATTGATGATTTGGCAGTGAAGGGGCCAGCGGTGAAAGAGAGCGACGAAGTCTCACCGGGGGTAAGGCGCTTTGTCTGTAAACACATTCAGGACCTCGAGAAGGTCCTGAGCCTGCTCGAAGAGCATAACCTCACGGCGAGCGGGGCCAAATCCAGACACTGCATGAGGGAAGCGACTATCTTGGGATTCGTCTGCAGTGAGAAAGGCCGAAGGCCGGATGTGAAGAAGACGGACAAGATTATTGAGTGGCCAGTTCCGTTCCACTCAATAACTGATGTCAGGAGCTTCCTTGGTACGTGTGGATTTTGGAGGGCCTTCGTCAAG